AATCAGTGACTCATCCATATGCTCTCTAACTTCTAAAATTGTTATGCTTTTAATTTTTCTCTTGTTCTTCCCTTTATAGGTTTATGGCTTTTTCATTCTTTTTTTTTTAAGATATTTATTGTTTTATTGTTATTTATATGGAGTTTTTGGAGTTCTGGTGTGGCGCTGTGGGTTAATGTGTTGGACTGCAAAGTCAGTTTGATCTGCAAGGTTGGCAATTCAAGTTCACCAGCACTCCTTGGAAACCCTATACAAGGTTGCTATGGGTCACAACTTATTTGACAGCACTTAACAACATCTGGAGTCCTAGAAGGGAGTACAGTTGGTTGTATTTGATCAATCTGCCACTTTAGTTGCTATCACAGAATTATTTTCTAGATAGTAATTTTATACATAGGAGTCCTGGTGTGGCGCTGTGGGGTAATGTGTCAGACTGTAAAGTTGTTTGAACTGCAAGGTTGGTGGTTCAACCTTACCAGCTGCTCCTTGGAAACCCTATACAGGTTGCTATGGGTCGGAATCGACTTGATGGCATTTAGCAACAACAACAATTTTATACATAAGCACTGTAATAAAACTTTTCACCAATTGTGGTACTCAGTTGATTCTTCTTACTATGATCTTACTAGTACATTTGCTAGTAATTGCAGGACAATGGCACACCTGTATTTTGTTTATGATTTCAAGCAAGATTGTTTATAGTATTTCCCTATTAAATATGAGGCTGGTTATAGCAGAATATATGAGTTTTATTTTAATTGTATATAAATGTAATTGAATATTGAATGTCAGTTTGTTGTACTGTGGTGGCTTGTGAGTTGCTGTGATTCTGGAAGCTATGCCACGGGTATTTTAAATACCAGCAGGATCACCCACAGTGGACAGGTTTCAGATGAGCTTTCAGATGAAGACAGACTAGGAAGAAGGAGTAACAAATTACTTCCGAATATTTAGTCACAGAAAACCTTATGAATAGTGTTATGCCTAGAATTCAGGGTCCCCAAAGACCACCCAGGAGCCGTGTACCGATGCAAATACATAAGGGTTGTTTAATCAAGCTCGAGCCAGGTCTCTAACCTTATCCGACATTTCAGAATAGGGAAAGAGCCCCAAATTCATTGTCTGCAGGGTTTTTATAGAATTTTCAAACAGCTCAGGTTTCTCAGCTTTACAATCTTTGTATTGGTTAACAATTGGCAAACTATGAGATGTTACAGTTTAATTGGTCAGGACTGGTGGTCTTTGTTCTTAGGCTAGGGTAAAGGAAAACATCTGGCCTCTGGCCTTGAGCTGCCTGGCTATTTATACATATATCATATTCTTGGAGCTAGAGTACGTGTTCAGGCTAATGTACAGAATGGAGATTGACCTTGCCTCTGGGGGGAACTAATAACTGAGGCCTTGTCTATTTAAAATGCTTTCCTGAGCCTGACTAGAGTTTAGTCAAGCAGTTTCTAGGTAGGCAAAATCAGGTAAAATCAGTTTGGTCCTTACAATAGCATAGAAACACTGTCAGATATAGTGCCAGAAAATGAGCCCTTAGCTTAGAAGGCACCCAAAATGTGACTAGGGAAGCCTTCTCAAAGTATTGGCAAAGTGGCAACATCAGTGGGCGCAAGTGTCAGTACAATTGTGAGGTTGGCCCAGGACTGGGCATGCCGTGTTTATTTCTGTTGTACATAGTGTTGCTATGAGTTGGTATCAACTTGATGACACCTAACAACAACAACTCTTAAATTGTTTTTGTTGTTTTTAATTGAAGATCATCTCAGAAAATTAGTGATACACAGTAATAACTTCAAAGAACTTAGCAGAATTATTTAAAAAATTTTAAAAGCATATTTTTAAGCCTCTGATAATATTAAAGGTAATCTAGCAGAAGATAATTTAGCTGTAATAGTAGAACTGCCAGAAATTTAAGCCTGAATCAGAAGAGGACCTAGAACAAGGGATCTCATTATGATGTCAGATGAATTTTGGCAAAGCAGAGAATACCAGAAAGATATTTATCTGTGCTTTATTGACTATGCAAAGGCTTTCGACTGTATGAATGATGACGGGCTATGGATAATATTGCAGAGAATGGGTATTCTGTAACACTTAATTGTGCTCATATAGAACCTGTTCATAGATTAGAAGCAACTGTTAGAACAGAACAAGAGGACACAGAATGGTTTAAAATCATGACTTACGAGTATTTCATTCAGCAAGTTTTCAAGCACCAGAACATCATATCTATTTACAGCTGCAGAATATTCCATGGTGTGTGTGTATATGTATATATATATATATTTTTTTTTTACATTAGGCGAATCTTCTGCACAAGAAAGAGCAAGGACGTCAGTTTGAAAACTAAGGTGCACTTTACCCCAAGCCATAGTATTTTCAGTAATCTCATATGCTTGTGAAATTTGGACAGTTAATAAGAATTAATACATTTGAGTTATGGTGTTGGAGGAGAATATTAAAAGTACCATAGACTGCCAAAAGAACAAACCTATCTGGGTTGGGAGAAGTACAGCCAGAATGCTGCTTGGAAACCAGGATAGCCAGCTGTCATCTCTTGTACTTTGACTATATTACCAGGAAGGACTAGTCCCTTGAGAAAGGATATCATATTTAGTAAAGTGGAGGGTCAAAGAAAAAGAGGAAGACCCCCAACATGATATATTGTGAATAGTGTTACAGGGCACACCAGACTGGTGTCAACTCTGAGTTTGAGTCTCTGCTTTTGTGTCTTTAGGGTACTAGCTATAGCTAGGAAAGGAAATGATGGGTCATATGGTAGTTCTATTTTCAAGTGTTAGAGGAACCGCCACACTGTTTTCCATCAGCAGATAACTGGATGAACAAAAATTATGTCACATAAAGTGCATGTCCTTTTTACAAAGTAAAACACAGCACATATGTAACAATGGAATACTGCTTGGCCAGTTGTTTTTCAGTGCCATCAAGTTAGTTTTATCTCATAGCGACCCTTTTTGTATAGGGTTTCCAGGTAGCACTTGGTGGGTTTAAACTGCTCACCTTGTGGTTCACAGTCCAGTACTGAGTAGAAGAAATGAAGTCCTGATAAATGCTCTATCTAACATCGACTGAGAGTGAAGACATGCTGAGTGAAATAAGTCAGTCAAGCAAACAAAATATGACATCCTTACATAAAAAAACCAAGAACAGGCAAATGTACCAAGTCTATGTTGATTATTACAGGGAGGGGTGGGGCAGTTAGAAAATTTGCATTAATTAAGGGTAATGGTTGCACAGCAGTTAATGTAATTGATGCCAGTAAGTTGTCCACTTGTAAAAAGTTGAACTGTTAAATTTGTGCTATGGGTCACTATCGGTTGGAATCAAATTGACCACACTTAACAACAATTTTTACAGTAGCATCTGCTGAGGATGCTTCTTGTTGTTATATGCTGTGGAGTCGGTTCCGACTTACAGTGTCCCTGTACAGGGTTTCCCAGGCTGTAAATCTTTACAGGAGCAGAAAGCCCCGTCTTACTCCTGCGGAACAGCTGGTAGTTTCAAACTGCTGACCTCAGTGAGGTTAGCAGCCCGATTCGTAACCACTACGCTACCTGAGCTGAGGCTGCTTATATACAGTCAAATAGCAACTTGGGATTTGATTTCTTAGTTTGAAGGTTTATGATCCTGTTTTCATGGGACATCCCAATTAAATCACCTGATAACATTATTTATTGCTTCTGTAATACCTAGCTCATTAGTAGTGACTGGGTTCTTAAAAGTTTTTAAACATCCAAGTCACAACAATTGGTGTCTGTTCACTTGGAGCAACAGAGAACAGGTCAGGAATCAGAGGAGGATGTGGGTGGTATGTGTGACTAATGGCCTCCGTGAGCAACTGCTTCCTTTGCGTGAGACCAGAACTGAATGGTGTTGGGCTATCATTAGTGAACACTTTGATCAAAGACACTACAGAATAATCCTGATAGAAAGGAGGAATGTTAAGAAGAGAATTCTCCATTCTCATGGAATCTAGAAATTCTAGAACCATGAAGACTGGATAATAAGGCATGCTCACCATGGAATATGGTCAATCAGTCAAAATCAAAAGGGCAACATTTACCTAAGGACAAAGCTGAGAAGGGATGGAAAGCTGGTTGAGTGCATGTAGGAACCACAAGGAGGAAGTACAATAGCTATTGTTGCATGGAGGGGATTGTAATCATTGAGATGAAGTAAAATATATTATTTGTTGAATGTACAACAGGATTTTGTTTATAAACTTTCACTCAATTCACAATAAAAAGCTAAGAAGATTGCTGAAATTATTGGTGTGAGAGACTCTTTTAAAATTGGAAGCAAAAATATCCCCTGAAGTCTTTAAGCCAAACAATAAGTTAGCTCACTTAGTAAAGAATGTCTTCCCTCAACATTGTATTCTGTTAAAGAACTCTGTATTGATTCAAATTGACGAAAGCAGTTTGAAATGTTAGATAGGAAACTTGGGATGGGGTGTGATTTTATATTAATAGGGGAGGATATTTTTTAAAAACGGTGAGAATAATTGTACAATTTGAAAGTAGACAACGTAAGCCAGTTGTTGAACTGTGTATTTCTACTGTGTGCTTTCAACAACAAAAATTACAAATTTTTTTAACTTAGAGATTAAAAAAATGTATATATGGTCCTGGGTTACTGCTACATGGTAGAAGTATTTTGTTATTTTTCTAATTCCAAAGATAACAGTAATGTTTTCACTATAAAGGATGAGTAGGTTAAATTGACTCTACAAATTGAGTCTCTTTTTTAATAGGATTACAAAATATTGGATAAATAATTTCCATCACAATCTGAAGAAAATAACATTAAACAGTCAATGATAGAAAAACAGAATGGGTGTCAGTTGTTTCTTTTTATTATTTAAAAGATAAATAGTCACATAAAAGAACATTTTATTTTTGTTATTTCATTGCTGTAAAATAATCGTAGCATACTAGAAATTTACTTTTCTCTGTCTTTTACAGGTTTTTGGCATGGACAAATGTTCAGTGGGAGGAATAAAATCGACTGAGCAGACTCCTGTCTTGTTAGGGAGTGTAGCTATGGCAGCTAGTTTCATGGATGTAGGAAATTCATTTATTGATCACACTAGTCATTTAGTTAATAGATATAGAAACCCTTTGGAAGAAGAAGATGATGATGTTGTATTTATTGATTCTATACAACCTCCCTTAGTTTCTGTACCAGCAATAGCTGATCAAAGAAACCTATATACAATATCAAAAAGGGAAACGCTACAAGGAAATAGTTCCATAATTCTTCCTCCTTCAAGAGATTTGACTTCTCAAAAGAGAAATATAAGTGAAACAATTGTCATTGATGATGAAGAGGATGTAGAAGTAAATCATTTGCAAAAGCAAAATTCTTCAAGTTTTATTGAATGGGGTCTTCGTAGAATTAAAAACAGAACCAAAGATTTGGATTTCTCTACTTCCAGTCTTTCAAGAAGTAAGGTAAATGCAGAAATGGGTAATAGTGTTAGCACTACAGGATCAACTCAGATTCATATTACTAATATTACAACCTTAGAAACAGATGTAAGGTCTGTGAATACTGAGAGCGAGATTAATTTAATGATTATACATATAGCATCACTATAGAATACCAACTTGAAAGATGTCACTAAAGGACTTCAGTCAAATGGTAATATACAAATATACACCCCGTCTTTAACTTCACAGAACAAGAATGGAGTAGAACCTTTTAATCCTGGTAGAATGAATGTGGCAGGAGACCTTTTTCAGAATGGAGGATTTGCAACTCATCATAGTCCTGGTAAGTGTCTAGTGATATTAAATTTTTCATTCTATTCCAAGTAAATAAACTTTTAGTGTTTCTTTTTAGGAATATTATCTGTTTTGTTTATTGTGAGTCATTTTATTTTTCTTGACTTTCATAGACTATAGTACTTGAACTGTAATCTACTTCGACAGCCTAAGTGTTTTAATTGAAAACACCCATACTCCTAAAACTGTCAGACAACTTGTTTATTAGTATCTCTAGCATCTCTAATTTTAGTAAATATTTGTAGGGAAAAAAATATATAATAACTAAAGAAGCTAATTAAATAAATTGAATAATTTAGTGCTATAACTTTTTGTTTTTTATCATTTTATTAATCACTTTCATTTTTAAATGTGGGAAAATATTCTTGTCTTTAAATACAAAACCTATATTCTTGAAACTTTTTGTTGACAGTCTTATTCTGATAAAATTAAAATGTAATGAAAGTTCCTAAAAAATAATAGCTTTTTTGTGTGTGTGGATTTTTCTTGACTTCATAACTTTTTGCCTTTTTTTTTTTTTAATTAGTGCTTTTAACTCTTTGACCAATTTAGAATTTTAGAGGATTGAAAGGTAATTAGACCTAAGAACCTAATCACTGTTAATGCTTTAATAGAACACTAGTGATGTTTTGCTTTGTTTTCGTTTCTTTTATGGGGTCCCTGGTGACATGTACAAGGTTAAGTACTCAGCTACTGACCAAAAGGTTGGTGACTTGACTCTACCCAGAGGCACCAGAGGCACAGCCGTTGAAAACCCTATGGAATACAGTTCTATGCTGATACAGTTGAAATTGCTGTGAGTTGGAATCAACTCTTTGGCAGCTGGCTTTCAGGTTACGAAAATACAACATGATTGTTACAGATGTTTGGGGAAAATAGTATTTAGAAATAAATACTATTTAGAAAATAATCTGTTACCTTACTGCACTAACTAAAAGTTACCACTGTTAAAAGTCTGGTTTGTTTTCTTTTAGTTTTGTATTAAATAATATGCAATACTATGTATATATAGAATGTGTGTTCTGTTGACGTACTTAATCTGAATTTCAGTTTTGTTAAGTGCTGTGGAGTCATTCTGACTCATAGCAACTCTGTATAGGGTTTTCCAAGGAGCAACTGGTGGATTAAAGCCACCAACCTTGCAGATAGCAGTCCATTGCTTATATTACAGCGCCATACCAGAACTCTAGTGACTGAGAGACCCATTCCCTCCTTTTTTGAGTATTTACTTAGTGTCTTAATTATCTAGTACTGCTCAAATACCAGGAATGAGTGATATTAACAAACAAAAATTTATTTTCTCACCATTGTTGTTGTTGTTTTGTTATGTGCCATCGAGTCGGTTCCGACCCATAGCGACCCTGTATAGGGTTTCCGAGGGTGTAAATCTTTACGGGAGTAGAAAGCCTCATCTTTCTCCCGCGGAGCAGCTGGTAGTTTCGAACCGCTGACCTTAAGGTTTGCAGCCCGATTCGTAACCACTACGCTACCAGAGCTCCTTAGTAGGCTAGAATTCCAAATTCTAGGTGCCTGCTCTAGGGAAATACTTCTCTGTCATCTGACTAGGAAAATTCTTGTGTCTTTTGAGCTTCACCTGGACTGCTTCATGTAGCTTGTCATATTGCTTCCCCCATCTCTGCTTCCTTATGTGCTTATTTAATCACTTTTGTACATCAGAAGCCATGGATTTAAGACAAGCCCCCAAGCCAAAACTGTTTCATTAACGTAACAAAAGTCATTCCCAAATGGGAGTATAACCACTATTGTTATGTGCTATGGAGTCAGTTCTGACTCATAGTGACCCTGTACAGAGTTTCCGAGACTGTAAATCTTTATGGGAGCAGAAAGCCTCATCTTTCTCCAACAGAACAGCTGGTAGTTTCTAACTGCTGTCCCTGAGGTTCGCAGACCAATTTGTAACCACTACACTACCCACTAAATCCAGTTGTCTTGAAGTTGACTTGGATTGAATTAGAACTGATGGCTACTTTTGAGCCCTCCCCACCTATTCGAGCATTGGATTCCCTAGACATCATGTAGCAGAGCTGAATCATCCCTACTGTGCCCTCCCTGAATTCCTAACCCATAATTTAGTAAGCATAACAAATAAATGTTGCTTTACTCCACTTTAAAAAAATTTACAAATTTGACAAATACTTTAATCTACAGATCCAAAAAAGCTTAGTTGTTTACAAGTGAGTCGATTCTAATTCATGGTGACCCTGTGTAGGATTTCTGAGAAGTGTCTGGTGGGTTTCAACTTCTTGTGGTTAGCAGTCCATTTGAATAATGAATAAGGAAGTTAATAGAGGAATTGATGCATTTCAGTAATGGTGTTGGAGAAGATTAAAAGTACTGTGGACTGCCAGAAGAACAAACAAATCTTTGTTGAAAGTAGTACAACTAGAATGCTCTTTAGAAGCCAAGATGGCCAGACTTCATCTTTCATACTTCAGAGATGAACCAGTTCATCAGGAGGAACCAGTTCCTGGAGAAGCAGGGTTAGCAAAAAAGAGGGAGACCCCCAATTATATGGATTGGCACAGTGGCAGCAGCAGTGGGCTCAAGTGTAGCAGCAACGATGAGGATGACACAAGGCCAGGCATTGTCACTATGGGTCAGAACCAACTCGACAGCACTTCACAATAACAACATCCGCTTGTTCTGTTCAGACAACTGCCTCTTGGATCTATATATAGGTTCCCCATGAGCACAGTGTTCTTAAATACCCATTTTTCAAATGTTGCGATGATACTAAAAACTGTACCAGCAGTATTTCAGATACCAGTGGTTATCCATAGCAGACAGGTTTCAACAGAACTTTCAGCGAAGATGTGGAAGACCTGCTGATCTGCTTCAAACATTAGCTGTTGCAAACTTTATAGAATATAGTCATCAAAGAACCTACATTTGAGAAATAAAAAACTAGAAGACAAAATAGGATTATTGCTCTGAGACCTAGTTTTTAACAATTCTTCGATATCAAAGACCACGAACAACAAAAGACAAAATAGATAAATGATACTATCAAAGTTAAAAGCATTTGTTCATCAAAATATTTTATCAACAAAGAGAATACCTAAAGACTGAGAGAAATTATTAGAGAACCATGTTTAGGATATAAACGCCAGATTATTGGCCATGGTTAAGTGCTGTCAAGTCAATTCGAACTCCTAGCAATCCTGAATAGGGTTTCCAAGAAGCAGTTGGTGGATTGGAGCCATTTGCCAAAGAAGTGTGGATGTGGTGGTGTTAAGTGCCATCAAGTCGTTTCTGACTCACATGTATAGGGTTTCCTAGGAAAGGCTGATGAATTTGAACTGCCAGCCTTGTGGTTAGCAGTCCAGTACTTACCCTACAGCTCCACATGAGGACTTCAGGGAGCTATTAGAAATAAATCAAAATGAGACGCCACCTCTGTTACAATACCTTCCAGGTTCTTCCCTCTCCCTCCCCTTAGGTTCCATTTTGTCTGTTGCCCCACCAAACTAAGTTGCAAGGGGCGTGGCTTAATAGGCAACATGACTTTTGATAGGCCAGAGTTAAATCACCCAGCAATGACATGTGATTTCCTGATTTGAACATATATAAGACCACTCCCTTCCTGTTGACTTCACTTCCTCTTCCTCTGCCTTCACTCCCTGCTCCTCTTCACCCACAAATAAAAATCTCTAGATGGGCACACTGGGCGGTCTGGTGTGCAGTGTGTGGTTGATGAGTGACGCCGGGTTGTTTTTTTAACCTCACTTTCACTAGAATGGCTATGATTTAAAAAGGGGGTTGTGGGAATAACATACTAATGTGGGTATGGAGAAATTAGAACCCTCATGTATTGCTCATGTGAATGCAAAATCGTATCACCACTGTGGAAAACACTTTGAGAGTTCCTCAAAAAATTGAACATGCAACTGTCATATGGTTCAACATTTCCAATATGGTATGTTGTTAAGTGCTGTCGAGTTGGTTTGAACTAACGACCCTTTATAGGGTTTCCAAGCAACAGCTGGATAGATTTCAACTGCTGACCTTGTGACTCACAGTCTGGTACTGGTCCTGCAGCACCATACCAGGATATACCCAAAATAACTGAAAAAAGAGTACAGCAAGAAAAAACCTGAACACCAGTGTTCATAGCTATACTGTTCCCAATAGCCAAAAAGTGGAAACAACCTCAGTGCTAATCAGCAGATGATTGGGTAGACAAAATGCAGTTCATTTGTTGTTAGGTGCAGTGAAGTTGATACCGACACAGTGACCCTGTGCACAACACAGTGAAACATTGCCCAGTCCTGCGCAAATCTCACAAGTTGCTACATTTGAGCCAATTGCTACAGCCATTTTGCCAATACATCTCATTGGGGGGTCTTCCTCTTTTTCTCCAACCCTCCATTTGATGAAACAGGATACCCTTTTCTCCAGGATCTGGTTCCTCCTGATAATATGTCCAAAGTATGAGAGACAGAGTCTGGCCGTACTGTTTTCTTACTCATTATGTTTTTTTTATGTCTCTTGATTGGTACATTCAATCCATTCATGTTCAATATAATTTCAATTGTTGTTAAGTGCCCTCGAGTTGGTTCAAACTGATAGTGACCCTGTATAGGGTTTCCGAGGAGCAGCTGGTGAGCTTCAACTGCTAACCTCGCGGTTCAAACGGCTTCACAGTTTGGTGCATCAACTCACAGCACCACACCAGGACTCCATAATTATTAATAGGTATGAAAAATAACAGTTCATACCTATTGAAAATTATCAATAGGTATGAATTAATTGTTTTTTTTTCTGTGGTGCTGCTGGTTCTTTGTTCTGCATAATTTTCTATGCCGAGTTCATTTTTTGTGTGTGGATTTTGTCATTTTCGTTTATGATTTTCTGTTGTGTTAATGTTTATTAAAGTTTTTGGGTTTTTTTATTTTGATGTGGAGACATACTATTTTTCTTTGAGGTTACCCTGTAATTTATTAACTTTTTCCTGCTGAACCAGTCTGTTTTATCTTGTAATCTATTTGACTTCCTTGCCATTTGGAAGTTCTGTATACTATTCCTTCATTTTGCTTTGTAGCTGACTTCATTATATATTGATATCTCTGGTTCCCTATCTTCAGTCTTGTAGATTTATTTTATTTTAAAAAATTCTATAAGGAGTCCTGGTGTGGCGCTGTGGGCTAATGCATCAGACTACAAAGTTGTTTGAACTGCAAGGTCAGTGGTTCAAGCTCACCAGCTCGGAATTGACTTGACGGCACTTAACAACAACATATCTGCTCTGGCAGCATAATGGTTACGAGTCAGGCTCAAGGTCATCAGTTGAAACCACCAACCATCCAGCAGGAGAAAGATGAGACTTTCTGCTCCTATAAAGATTTATAGCCTCAGAAACCTATGCAAGGTTGCTATGAGTCAAAACCAACTCCAAGGCACAGCCCCACCAATACCATATCTGGATTGAGTTCTGAGTAGTGATGTCTTGTATGGTAATCTCAGTTTGTTGTCTGCTGTTGTTGGTTCTCAATCCAAAGAACACCATTTAGCATTTTTTGTAAAATTGGTCTGGTCATTAGAAAGTCCTTTAATTACTACTTATCAGAGGATTCCTAATTCCACAGTCATATTTGAGGGACAGCTTTGCTGGGTATATGATTCTTAGTGAGCAATTTTTTTCTTTATCATAGTTTTGTATATGTCATCCCATCACCTCCTTGCCTGCATGGTTTCAGCTGAGAAATCGGAGCTTAGTGTTATTGGTTCTCCTCTGTAGTTTTTGTTTTTCTCGAGCTGCTCTCAGTATTCTCTCCTGGTCTTTGAGCTTGGAAAGTTTGACTATGGTACGTCTTGAGGTGATTTTCTTTTGTCATATGCCCTGTTTGGACTTCGTTCAGTTTCTTGTATGCTTATCTTCTCATCTTTCATGATATTAGGGAAATTTTCTTCAAACAAGTCTGACAATTTTCTCGGTGCTTGTCTCTTCTTGTTCTGAAATTCCAATCACCCATAAATTGTTCCTTTTCATGGTGTCCCACATAACTATGAGACTTTCTTTGGATTTTTTCATTGTTGTTTCTGATTGTTCTTTTAGCAGACTAGTATTGAGAGATTTCTCTTCAAGCTTTCTGATTCAGGCTTCCTTTGTTTCAGTTCTACTCCTTTGTCCTTTCAATGTATTGTCCATTTCTGAGATTTTACTATAATCTTGTGGATTTCTAATTGCAGGTTTTATGTTGTTTCAAAATGTTTGTTTATTTTGTGTTTGTTCTTGTAGTTTTTTCCTTAGTTGTTGTAAAGTTGTAATTGTGTTATCCTTGCTTTCCTCAATCTTTCTGTTGATCCTTTGAAGGTACCTAATTATCATTCTTTTGAATTCTTTTTCAGTTCTGTTGACCTTTTCTTCCTCAGAATCATTTTCTGGTTCTGCATCTTGGTCATTTGTTTGAGACATTCTCTCTTGTTTCTTCATGTGAGCTAAAATTTTTTTTTTTTCTTTGGGGCATTGTGGGAATTTCATATTTTTAAAACAGACAGTGTAGTTGTTGGACCCAGAAGGAAGAAATCTCTGGTGGGTTCCTACAATTCAAGGAACTCACAAAGTGATTGTGGAAGGAATGTGACAGCAGAGTTCCTGTCCATAGGTAGAATTCCTATTGGCCTTGGTGTTATCTGTGTTCAGGGCCCTCAGTCCAGAAGTAGTTCATGGGGATTCTTTATGGAGCTGGTTTTAGTGTCTGTTAGCACCACAGGGAAGCTGGGAACAGGTTGTCTGGTTAAATACTGGTCTAGTGGCTCTGTGGTATTATAGGTCTGGAGGGAGCCCACCTGAATTCAAGCACCAAAACCATGCAGTCTGCCCCCATCTCCCTACTGGCATGACTCCCAACCATGGGTCTCAACTCCTGGAGAGCAAGGTTTGCACTGGGTGTGTATGATGGTGGGAGCTGACTACATTTCTGATCATCAGGGGAGCCTGAGGAAAAAGAAGAAATCCCATCTTTTCCGTCACCCATGCAAATCTACCCTCCAGGCTCTCATTCCACTTTCAAAGCTGCTCACAAGATGGTCAAGCCTCATCTGGCTAGCCGTTCATCAGTCATTCTCCTTCTCTCGCCATCCCTGCTCAGCCTCTCCTCCCAGCAAGCACTCCATCCACATCTTTAACCTTTATTCTGAACTTCATGGTGCCAGAATTTTCATGTGGATCTCTTTTACTTTGTGTTTCTCTCGTCTTTATTGTAAAGGGGTAGGGGGGGGAGTCCATGTAGTGTCTGCCTAGTCCACCATCTTGAAGGAAGTCAAAATATACAGTTCATTGTTTTTATGTTCAAGGTTTTGAATTTATTTTCCTTTTTAATGGTAATGACTAATCTTGTCATGATTTGATATTTTTTATTAACCCTATTTCTTAAATCTAGTTTGCAGTCCAGATACGGTATAGAGAAATTCTAATCCCAGAATGTAGTCTATGTTTATACTCAATGAATACGTAATTCCTGTTTAGTTGAGTCATTTATTTTGGGTAAGGATCTATAATGCCTGAATTTTTCACACATTAGCCTGTAGAAACCATTAGACTAATGGAATAATTCAGAACCAATACAATTTAACAGTAAATAAGAGTCCTGGTGTGGTGCTATGGGTTATTGCGTTGGACTGCAAAGTTGGTTTGAACCACAACATCGGTGGTTCAAGCTCACCAGCTACTCAGAAACCCCATACAGGGTCACTATGAGTCGAAACTGACTCGATGGCACTTAACAACAACAACCTTCTTATCTGGGTACTTAATAATATTGGAATATGCTCCAGATTCTGCAATATGTATTTTCCTGTAACATGAAAGGTTTTCTTTTGTTGCTTATTCTGTTTCATTTTTACCTCCAAGATTAAAGCAATATAGAAAAATATTGAATATAGAAAAAAGACTTAAAGGAATTTTAAAGATGGCATTTGAGAGATGATAATAGGGTTGTAATGGTGGTGGTGATGTGATAAGTCCTGAGTAATTTTATATTCTGAGGTCTTATTTCCTAAACCTCAGCATCACTTCATTGGTGGTTAGAAATGAACAATATCAGGTATTTTTCCAGACTTAAGGTCAGTAGTTCGAAACTACCAGACGTTCCGCGGGAGAAAGATGAGGCTTTCTGCTCCCGTAAAGATTTACAGCCTGGGAAACCCTGTACAGGGTTGCTATGAGTCAGTTTCAACTCCACAGCACATAACCACCACCACTGATTTAGAATCTCCATTTAAACAAGATTTCCGTATGTTCTCATATGAGTGCTAAAACTTGAGAAATTAGGATGTCTATACCTGTTACTCTACCATTTTGACGCTAAAAATAATACATTATGGAACAATGCCTATATGCAGAATTAGCAAACTGAACTTTGCCTGAATAACCTACCACATGTATTAATGCCAATGAAATAATATTTATAAAGGTTGGAAAATAATTGTAGAAAGATATGCCTTAAAATGATGTTGAACTGTTAATAGTGATGACTGAACAAATAAACATATTTAATGTCTCTTAACTGTACATGTGAGCATTGTTCTAATGGTAAATGTTTTTGTTACTTACATATTTAAGTAAGTAAAATCTATTTAGGGGGAAGCATACTAATGTCTATAATTGTAATACATAAAAATGATGAGTTGATGTTTATTTAGAGGTCTGTGTGAACCTACAAGACTTGGTGAAAGGATGTGTAATGGATGTCCCAGAAACATCAAGAGATAGAAATGTGATTAAAGTAGTAAAATATTATAGAATCAACTTTATAGTTATAAGTGTTCACTAAAAATTCTTTTAACTTCTCTGTACGTCTGAAAATTTCAGTAATGCTCACAGTGAACATGGTAGATATGAAATTGGATATCATATGTAAATTACTAGAATAGCACATACTTAAGGGGTTATGGATAACCAAGCTTTTTACTATTGTTATCTATATATTTGCATATTGCTTGCTTTATTCTATAAATGTATTAATTCTTTCCTCTTAGGGAAGTGCAGGTGGCTAGTATTTTTTTCATGTGCTAGGCATAATGCATTATCTCATTTATTTCTCATAACACTGATGAGTTAAGTCATGCCCCAGTTTATAGATAAGAGAACCAAGACAAAATTTCTGTATAATTGCATAGTCTCTAGCTCAAGAGACAGGATTTGAACCTGGGGAGTCTGAGTAAAAGAGTTGGTGACTATTCACTGAACAATTTCTGGGACAACTGTTTACATTATTAGTATAATGGAGTGTCAGTCACTTGAAACTTCTTCCTTTGAGTGTGTCAACAAGACAGTATCCTTACCCATGTCTCTTAAATACTGCTTCCTCACTAGTGTCTTTAACCAAGTGTGTTCTTGTTGTTAAGTACCATGGAGTTGGTTCCGACTCATAGTGACCCTGCACAGGGTTTCCACGGCTATAAATCTTTATAGGAGCAGAAAGCCTCGTCTTTCTCCCATGGAACCGCTGGTAGTTTCGAACTGCCAACCTTGAGGTTAGCAGCCCGATTTGTAACCACTATGCTACCAGAGCTGAGCTCCTTTTAACTAAGTGTACATGTGTAACATAAAAGAAGTAATTTTCTGGTATGAATTTGTATTGATTCCATGATTTTTTTCTTCTGTTTTACTTTTAAGATTTGTGGATCTCCCAATCAGCATCATTTCCCCGTAATCAGAAACAACCAGGGGTGGATTCTTTATCACCAGTGGCCTTACTTCCTAAGCAGATATTCCAGGCTTCTCTCCAACAACAACTTAGTAAGCCAGCTAAAATCACTTGTGCATACTGCAGAAAACCTTTACAGAAGGGACAGACAGCTTATCAACGAAAAGGATCAGCTCACCTCTTTTGTTCTACCACCTGCCTTTCTTCCTTCTCTAATAAGCGTGCTTCAAAGAAACGCAATGCAATGTGTAAAAAGTAAGATCTACCTTTCAAATGGCTCCGTACAGTTGAATATTGGTGGCATAAATTAATCTTCTGAATATAATTGGAGAGTTGACAGAATTGTTGGCAGGACTACCTTCCTGTTTATTGTGCTTTGAATTCATTTGTACTTTTGGCTGGAAAATGGAATAAATATAGAAGTAAATTGACTCTCACTATCATTTTTTTTGCCTTCTCTTGACCTTACCTCCACCTTCTACCTTAGTTCTACCAAACTGCTACCAGCATTTTTTAATGTTTGTAAAAATCTAAGACTTGGAGTGTGTCTGAATTTCTGTAGAAGATTTTTTTGCCTCTCAGTCTTATAAAATATTATTTAGGAATTCTTGACAGTGAATCTTGGTATAGCGCTGTAGAATTTAGGCACTGAACTGCTATCCACAAGGTCAGTGGTACAAACCCACCAGCCAGTGCTTGAAAGCTACAAGGTGGTTGTGAGTCAGAACTGATTCGATGACACTTAATAACAATAACTTGGCAGTGAAACCAATAAGTCAGTTTCATAAGATCCAGAAATTTAGTTGATTCATAGAATTAAGTCATGAAAAATGTCAATTATTGTTCATTTAATTTCTGTTATTATGGACTATTTTTACATTGTGTTTATATCTCTTATATTTCAGAGATGCACCTACAGAAAAGACTATTGATGTTCCTCAAGTGGATTCGAGCAAATCCTCCCAAGAATTTTATAATACATCATCTTTCTCTCCCTATGAGGACAAACAGATTCTTAGAAAAAGAGTTCTGAATAAATCAAGATGTACAATCTGTAATAAGCTAACAGAGGTTTGCATTTTTATGCCTTATTTAAGTTACTATTTATCTAACAGATAATTTTAGCTTTGTTGTTGTTGTTAGGTGCCACTGAGTTGGCACCGACTCATAGCAACCCTATGCACAGCGGAACGAAACACTGCCTGATCCTGGTCCATCCTCACTACTGTTGCCATTTTAAATGCCATTATATGCTCTGCCATCCACATGCACATGTTCTGAATAGGAAGTCCAGGTTTGGCATTGTAGGATAAGCACTGGACTGCTAACCACAAGGTCAGTGGTTCAAACCCACTAGCTGCTCCTCAGAAACCCTATGCATAGACACTATGAGTCAGAACCAACTCGACAGCCCTTGATAGCTATCATGAAATTTAAGGAAAGGATAAGGATATATTAAAACTATCTTAATAAACAAATATCCTACCACATAGTTTGAAAAGTATACATTTGTTTCTGTGGTATCAAGTGAACTCATAAACAAGGCAATAGTTTTATGGCAGAAGTTATTCCTATTAAGTGCCATTGAGTCGGTTTTGACACCCTGCAAAGGATTTCCAAGGAGCAGCTGGTAGGTTTGAATCTCTGACCTTGTGATTAGCAATCCAGTGCTTATCCTATAATGCCACACCAGGACTCCATTTAATAGCACTAAATAGAAATATATTTTCACTACATGGAGAAAACATCAAATCCTGGTTGCAGAACATGTGGAACAGGTAGAGTGAATTACTTTAGTGATAGAATCTTTTTAGTTGCTAACAAAGAAGCATGCATACTCTTGTTTACCTAGTCCTTATAACTGAATTTGATCTTGGCTACCATTTGTTGTTGTCGTTAGATACTGTGGAGTTGTTTCTGACTCATAGGAACCCTCTGTACAACAGAAAGAAACATTGCCCAGTCCTGCACCATCCTTACATTCATTCTGATGTTTGAGTTATTTGTGCCAATCAAGGACATGATTTTATCTTAGTCACAATGGAGTGAGGTCCACCTTAACTTATGTATATACAGAACCCATACTGAATTGGATAGTATAAATTCCGCTAGCCCCTCTAGGAACTGGGACAATTTTCTAGGGCAGTGAATTTGAAATAAAATACTCTTAATCCTAAAAATTCCTACTGTATTTGTTTTAAGCAATTTATAGAAAAATCTTCTCAACGAGTTCATTTTCTGCCATTCTTAAGTGTCTGTAGGAAAGTTATTTGTTGATTTTTATTGCTTTATGTTCTATGAATTTTAGTGTTCCTCTTTTGTAAAATCGGTTGAAAGAACAACAAAATATACTTTTAAAAAGCTCTTTTTCCCTGAATATTTCTCCCTCTGAGAAATTATAAAGGATTCTTTGTGTCTTTTGAAGAAATTTGTTTTCATTACCTACCATATTAATCTGGTTTGTGTATTTTATTTAATAAATTCTGTTCTTTTTTTTAGATTCGCCATGAAGTCGGCATTGATAATATAACTCATAAACTCTGCAGTAACCATTGCTTTAATAAGTACAGATTGGCCAATGGCCTAATAATGAATTGTTGTGAACAGTGTGGCGAGTACATGCCCAGTAAAAGTGCTGGAAACAGTGACTTGATGATTGAAGGTCAGCAGAAAAGATTTTGCTGCCAAAGTTGTGTTAGCCAATATAAACAGGTAATTTTTTGTAATGAGCTTTAAATGATAAAATATACAATAGCTTCATCTTCTTGGCTCAACTAATGAGATTTGTCTCAGAATCTTACATAGTTCTATTTTTGTCACTTTATCATTGAGCTGTCCCATATCAAGTGAACGTTAAAATATTGTCATGCGCCGCATAACGTCCAGGCAACGTCCAACTGCATATACGTCCGTGGTCCCATATGGTTTAATACAGTTCAAAAATCTAGATTGGAGAACAGGATATAGCGGACATAACTGGACGTAGCAGATGTAACTGGACATAGCGAATGGCAACAGTTTCCCACATGTAACGTGTGTCTTATACAAACCGGTTGTGCTGCCAGGTATATAACTGTACAATACATACATAACCTATAAACATGTCTTGATAGTCCAAATAAATACCTGTGGTGCTGGCTTATGTATGTACTGTACTTTCTATCATTAATGTGAACTTTCCCTACTTAAAAATTGTTACAGTAACAGTGTATGCTTCGACTCAGAGCCAGCAGCATCCAATCTCGTGAATCGTGCTAATCGTGCGTCTCTTGAGTGTTGTAGCATTATCTCTCTGTTTAATTTTCTTTTGAAAATATTACCGTGAAGTGCATCGTGGCTCGCAAACACAGCAAAACCAGTGCTAGTGATAACAGCAGCAAGAGGCAAAGGAGAAGTATCGATTTGGAAGTGAAACAAAAAGTTATTAAACAACATGAAGGTGGAAAATCAGTGAATGCTATTGCTCGAGAGTTAGGCATGTCTCACTCAACAATCACGACAATCCTCAAAAACAAAGAAAAAATTCTCCGAGCTGTTAAAGGATCAGCTCCGCTGAAAGCTACAAGGCTAACAAAAATGCGCGAGGGGCCTATATCAGAAATGGAGAAATTACTAATGGCATGGATTGAGGACCAAACACAAAAGCGAATCCCTCTCAGCACTTCGGCGATTACTACTAAGGCACGAAGCTTGTTCGAGATGCTAAAAGAAAAAGCAGGACCAGACTACAATATCGAGTTTAGTGCTAGCTCTGGGTGGTTCATGCGCTTCAAACAACGTTTTTCGCTGCATAATGTGAAAGTGAGTGGTGAGTCTGTATACAGTAGTGTATACTTAATGCATTATTATGTTATATGTTCAGTATTGTATATTAATCTACTTAACTCGTATATTGCCATGCCAGGTAAAACAGCCGAAATACAGTACTGTGTGTGTACAGTATTTTGGCTGTTTAGTCTCTAGTTACTCTACAGTATTCCATGTAGTTTTGCTAAGTATATAATGCGTTTGCACAGTGTCCAAATCACATAATGTCTATTTCACAAAATTTACCATGGACATTAAGTGAGGCATGACTGTATCGATTGTTATATGTAAGCTTGTTTAAAATGTTTACTTTTTACAGAATTTATAGAAGTTTTCTTTCACATTCTCTTGTAAATCAGATTTTTGGAATTGTATTACAGATTATCATGACTTTGCATTATCTCTTTTTAAACTTGGTGTTTGCTATGATAGAAGTAGCTAGAGTAGCAGGATTGTAGAAGATTCTTATTCCGGAATCCTTTAGTCAACATTTATTTAGGTATAAATTTCATAAAATAAAATGTCCAAATATAATATTTGGATTTTATGTAAAATTATATAAACTGCCTATGTATATAACCACCACCAAAAATAACATTTCCATGTTCCTTTGTGCTCTTTTCCTATCAGTCATGAACCCTCCCCTGCGGTTTTGCAGAAAATAACAGTCTGATTTCTGTCACCATAGATTAGTTTTGCATATTATTGAACTTAATTCAAATGGTTACAGTTTTTTGTTTTTGTTTTTTTTTTTTTAAATTTATAAGCCGCTTGTACTCTTGTGTCTAGCTCCGCTTGTTTAGCTTGTCGTTTTGAGATTCATTTATACTGTATATTTTATTGCTTAGTGGTATTCTATTACGTGAATATACCATAATTTATCCACCTGTGGATGGATATTTAAGTTGTTGCAGTTTGTTACTATATATACATATACATATATATATATATATATAATATTCTTGTACTGCTCCTAAGTTTTTTCATGTGTCTTCAGTAAACACTTAGGAGTTCAGTCGCTGGATCATGGGTAGATATATATGTTTAACTTTATAAGAAACTGCCAAACTCCAGAACCATTTTGTACTCCCACCAGTAATTTTCTAGTTCTAAGGAGCTCTGGTAGCATAGTGGTTATGAATCAGTCTGTGAGCCTTAAGGTCAGCAGTTCAAAACTACCAGCTGTTGCATGGGAGAAAGATGAGGCTTTCTGCTCCCGTAAAGATTTACAGCCTCGGAAACCCTGTACAGGGTCGCTATGAGTCAGAACTGACTCCACAGCACATAACCAACCAAACCATCCAGTTGCTCCACATTCTCACCAAAATTTGATAATGTTCAGCCTTAATCAATTTCCACCATTCTAAAGATTTGAAATGTTTATCTCATCATGGTTTTAATTTGCATTTCCCAGATAACTAATGTTTTCTCATCACTTTACCTTCTTTTGTATAATATCTGTTCAAGTCATCATCACAGTTTTTATTTTATAGTCTTCTTATTATTGAGTTGCAGGAGTTATTTATATATTCTGGATACATGTCTTTTGTGAAATAAATGTTTTTGGAAGATTTTTCTCACAAACTGATTTGTCATCTTAATGTCATTTTTTGTTTTGATAAAGTCCAATTTATTACTGTTTTCTGACTTTTTGTGTCCTAAGAAATCTTTGCCTACCACAGTAACTCTTTCATAGTTTCTTCTAAGAAGCTTTTTTGTTTTTAGTGATACATTTCAAATTAATTTTGTAGGTAGTTTTTGAGATAAGGGTTGAAGAGTTTATTACTACTTGATTTCAAGATTGCTGTAGAGTACCGGGAGTCCTTGTATGGCACTGTGGGATAAAAGGTCGGTTTGAACCACAAGGTCAGCAGTTCAAACTCACCAGACACAGTCTGGAAACCCTATCTATACAGGATCATTATGAGTCTAAAGCAATTTGATGGCACATAACAATATAGAGTACATAATCAAGAGTGTCACCATAATGGTAAATAAGGATAAATAGGTCAGTGGAATAGTATAACTAGTCCAGAAATGGAACGGAACATACACAGTTTATTTTAGAACAAAGTACCAAGGTAATTCAATGGTAAAAACATGACTTTTGTAACTTTAACAGTACTGGACCAGTCTTTTCTTTGTATTGATATAAATGAGTCGTGACCTCATCTCATTCCATATACAAAATTAATTTATGATGTATACTAAAGGTCAAAGTAGGAACATTCTTAGCCCCCATTTCATTAGATAAAGATTTGATTGTTTTGCTTAAGTTATCTTTTCAAAGCCTGTTGGGCAGGGAAAGAGACAATTTAGCCATTTACTTTGACTGAAATTTTGCTAGTTAAGGGTAATGAGCTCATAAACAGATATAGTGCTTATTTTCTGGAAAGCATAAGGCCTGCACAAAAATTATAAAGTTGTTACTCCTAGAAGAACATTATGTGCCTTTGAGTCAGCTCAGAGTGACCCTGTGCAGGGTTTCCAAGGAGTGGCTGGTAGTTTTGAACCACCAACCTTACATTTAGTTGTCCAGTGCTTATCGTACAATACCACAGCACAACTCCATACTTAGAGAGTCTAGGTTGAGTTAATACCCAGGTAGGGTATTTAGTAACAGTGAGAAAATATATAACAGACTAGACATCAATCATGTATCTAGAATATTTGAGTGAGTAACTGTATTGCCTGCCACTGTGACCTCCAAGTATAAAGTTGTTCCTTCTGCCATGCATGTTTCAGTTATGCAAAAACAACACATAAACTATTGACAAATATGGGAACAGTTTTTCATATAAAATTCAAGTTTTATAAATGTGCAGGGTTTTCCAAGTATGTTAATATTTTTAAGTGCTCAATAGATGCCTTAAAGTATCCAGGAAAACTTCATATAGTATTGAAGACTACACCCTGGATCAGATTTTCCATTTTTATGAAATTACTTTCTGTTGAGGGTGGATAGCCTGAGGACCTAAATCTCAAAGGAAGAGGAAGCATGATCCTTAAGCTTTAAAGCTGCAAATGATCTAGTCACTGTGATTCTAACTAATAAATGCTAATGGTGATTTCATGTAATTCAGCTCGTATTTGTAAAAAAAAACTCGAAACTTATTGCTAGCTCCTTTTCTATGTTGTTGTTGTTGTTGTTAAGTGCCGTTGAGTCGAATCCGACCCATAACGACCTTGTGTAGGGTTTCTGAGGAGCAGCTGGTGAACTTGAACCGCCGACTTTGAAGTTCAAAAGGCTTTGTAGTCTGGTGCATTAAATGTTGTTAGGTGCCATCAAGTCAGTTCCGACTCATAGCGACTCTATATACAACAGAACAAGATAACTACCCTTATCTGTAGATAGAGAATAGTATGTACATGATCAAATGCTGAATTGCCTTTATACTAAAAAAGTGTTTTATGAGCCTTTCATTTTTTCTAAAGAAGATCATATTTCTCTCTTCAGTGTCAGGAGACCAATATCTGAGATTTCAGTTGAAAGTCTATAATGTCCATTTGAGTGTTCCACATATACCTCAAATTGTCTAAAATCAACCTCTAGGTATTATGGTACATGGTTTTGTGTGGGCATAAGGTTTTTGTTTTGTATATATACACCTAGGAGTGGAATTACTGGGGTTTATATGGTTAGCTTTTAGGAACAGCTGTTTTCTACAACAGCTACACCATTTTACATTCCCACTAGCATTTTAGAGCTTCACACCAGTTCTGAGTTCAATCATGGCTGAAGAAGTGAAACCAGAATAGACCCAAGTTTTTAAATTTCCAGTGAATTGGAATGGGGACATAATACGGGTCCAAGTTCTGGTAGAAATATAGAAAACAAGGGCAGTTTCTGCTTTGCATGGCAACCCAATCTCTTGTTCCTGTCCTACTTCCCATTGGAATTTGAGCACTGGTGCCCCACTGAAATATGTGACCAACTACACAGCTTTGTGTCACTGTCCACACTTCTACCAGTCTCCTACATCAAACTGCACCTCTTCTGAGCCTCTCATATGATGTACATGTCATTCTTCTCATTCCAGCTCATATAAATACTTTTAAGTTCAGGTCTTTTTTAGTTACACATCTTCAGCCATGACTGAGCTAGTTTGAATTCCTGCTAATCCTCTACATCTTTGTCATACTTGTTTATATTTTTGGTTATAGCCATCCTAGTCAGTGTAAACTGCTTTGACATGTTGCTTTTGCTTTGCATTTGTTTGATGGCTAAAGATACTGAGAAACCTTTCATGTGGTTACCAGGCATTTGTATGTTAGCAGTTCTAAGATGAAATAATGATTTATCCAATTTTTTCCCCCCAGATGCTGGAAACAAAAGCAAAAAAATTATCATCAGAAAACAGAAAAAGAAATGCTGTTAGAGAAAAAAATGAAAGACTATTATATGGATCTTTGAATACACTTTTGGAAAAAATTGAAGTAATATCGGATAAAAAAGAAAAGACTTCAGAGCTACAGGTTTCAGTAGCATCTAGTACAAGTACATCACTGAAAAAGGATAGGAATTTACCATCTTCCTCCATGTCAACCATAGATGATAATTTTCAAGAGGAAATGGAAGAGAAAATATCAGAAGACTCAGCTATACCAGTTGTACTGTCTACAGATCCAGGTACATGGCCCCGCATTTTGAATATTAAACAGTGGGACACTCTTGTTAAAAATGATCCACCTCAAATAAGAAATTTTAACTTTCCAAAAGACAATACAGGGAGGAAGTTTTCAGAAACATACTATACACGAATTCTTCCAAATGGTGAAAAAACCACTCGATCCTGGTTACTTTACTCTACCTCAAAAGATTCCGTGTTTTGTCTATATTGCAAACTCTTTGGGGAAGGAAAAAATCAACTGAAGAATGAGAATGGGTGCAAAGATTGGCAGCATTTATCACATATTCTCAGTAAACATGAAGAAAGTGAAATGCACATTAATAATAGTGTTAAGTATTCAAAACTAAAGTCTGATTTAAAAAGAAATCAAACTATGGAAGCTGCAGAACAGAGATTCTATAAAGATGAGAAAAATGATGATGTGCTACTGTTGTACACATAATATATCTGAGTTGATTTGTGACATGCAATACCCTACATTTATTCTAGAAATACCTGTGTCTTAATCGTCACTACCACATGTATGGTGAAGCTCTATACAAAATAACTTACATAGTTCATTAGCAATAAGTATGATAGCAAATAAATAGTAAAGAATGTTTCAAATTCTCGAGTTAATTGGATTTTATAGTCATTAATGCAAATTTCAAGAAAGTTCATTTTTAATTTTACCAATTCACACTTCTTAAAAAATTGCCATGTAAGGACTGACATTTGGCAGGTTTGGTTTAATTTTCTGTCTAGAAACCTTGGAAGACAGGTGGAAAAAGGCCTGAGTTTATCAATACCAGTGTGAACAAGATGTGAATAAGCATTCTCATCGATAGTAAAATAAAATATTCAGAAATACTTTTAAGAATATAATGAAATGTAAAAAGTATACCTTTTTGATATTAAACCAAATACTTGTGCTTTTTTTATGGCAAAGCATTATTTTATTTCAGTAAAACATAATAATTTGTTATATTGGTTAATTTGCATTTTATTGGTTTTATAATTTTTAATTTAATTTGTAAATTTTTAGCTTTTATTGTTATGTGAGAACTGTTGTAAACAAAGAGTATATATTTTTAAACAAATAAAATTGTTAAAATAAAGATAAATTACCTTTAGGTATTGTGTCCATTTTTTTTTTTGTACTTTGAAAAGAGATTTCTTGTTAGTGTTAGTCCCATAGGGTTGGTTCTGACTCAGTGGCCCTGTATACGGTTTTCAAGGCTGTAAATCTTTGAGGGAGCAGAAAACCTCATCATCTTTCTCCTGAAAAGTGACTGTTAGACTTGAACTGCCAACTTGGTGGTTCACAGTTCAGTACTTATCCTACGGAGCCACCATACTTGAAATTTGAGAAATACTAAGGAAAATTTTGTTCGTTAAGTGCAATGGAATCTGTTCCTACACATAATGATTTCTATGGGGTTTCCTAATTCTCCCTTTCTAATTTCAATTAACAGTTTTCTCACAAATTCTTGTATATATGAGAAGACTTTGTAGCAAACTGAAAACTAAAGGAGAATGGAACTTTCCAAAGCCCCCTCATATACTAGAACTTATTTAAGGTTTTCCCATAAAACAAAATATTATATAATGATAAGAACAAAACAATTAATTCTTCTTGATGGCACTGACACTAGGAATATATGCAGATTCCTTCAGTGGTGCTAGTTTGTTACTATATAAACTATTTTTGGAGAACCTAGAAAGATCATTTTGGGTTTTGTTTGTTTTTTGTTGTTTTGGGTCTTTTAATCATTTTGGTTTTCGACAATTGGATTCCTTAATCTTTGAAATTTGAATAAGAATGAGGTTTTGGGAAGTTTCTAAAAATGTAGTTTGCTTTCATAGGCAAGGTTCTATCATCATCATATTGCAGGTTAATGAGTTTTCCTCCAATCCTGATGCCATGATTTTCTTCATATAACCCAACTTCTCGGGTTTATTTGCTCAGCATACAGACTGAATAAGTATGGTAAAAGAATACAACCTTGTCACACCTTTCCTAATTTTAAACCATTTACTGTATCCGTGTTCTGTTCGAACAACTGCCTCTTGATCTATGTACAGGTTCCTCATGAGCACAATTAAAGTGTTCCGGAATACTCATACTTTGCAATATTGTCCATAGCTTGTCATGAGCCACACAATTGAAAGCCTTTGCATAGTCAATAGAGCACAGGTAAACATCTTTCTGGTATTCTCTGCTTTTAGCCAAGATCCATCTGACATCAGCAATGATATCCCTAGTTCCACGTCCTCTTCAGAATCTGGTTTGAACCTCTGAAAGTTCCCTGTCAATGTATGCTTGCAGCTGTTTCTGTATTACTCTTAATAAAACTGTACTCACATGGGCTATCAAAGATATTGTATGATGATTTCCACATTCCATTGGGTCAGCTCTCTTTGGAACGCGCACAAATGTAGATCTCTTCCAGTCAGTTGGCCAATTTTCTTCCAAATTTCTTGGCATAGATAAGTGAGTGCCTCCTGTGCCACCTTACTTTCTTGAAAGATTTAAATTTGTGTTCCATCAATTCCCGGTGCCTTGTTCTTCGCTAATTCCTTCAATGTACCTTGGACTTCATCCTTCAGTATCATTGACTCTTAATCATACGGTACCTCTTGAAATGGTTTAACATCGACCACTTTCTTTTGGTACAGTGACTCTGTATTCCTTCCATCTTTTGGTGCTTTCTGCATCATTCAATAATTTACACAGATAATCCTTCAATAACACAAGTTGAGGCTTGAATTTTTTTCTTTAGTTCCCTCAGCTTTTGAAATGCTGAGTGTGTTCTTCCCTTTTAGTTTTCTAACTCCAGATCTTTGCACATTTTACTTTAATATTTGAATTTGTTTTCTCGAGCTGACCTTTGAAATTTTCTGTTCCATTCTTGTACCTCCTCATTTCTTCCATTTGCTTTAGCGTCTTTGCTGGGGAGCAAGTTTCAGAGTCACTTTTGACATCCATTTTGATCTTTTCCTTCTTTCTTGTCTTCTTAATGACTTTTTGCTTTCTTCCTATATGATGTTCTCGATGTCATCCCACAACACTTCTGATCTTTGGTCTTTATTGTCTAATGTGTCAAATGTGCTCTTCAAATGATCTGTAAATTCAGGTGGGATATATTCAAGGTCATATTTTGGATTTCATGGACTCGTTTCAGTTTTTTTCAGCTTCAGTTTGAATTTGCGTATGAGCAATTGTTGGTTTGTTACACACTCTTAGCCTTGTTTTGACTGATGATATGGAGCTTCTCCACCTTCTTTTTGTACAAATGTAGTCAATTTGATTTCTATGTATACCATCTGGTGAGGTTCATGTTTATTGTCTCTTATGCTATTTAAAAAAGATATTTGAAATGAACAAATAATTGGTTTTGCAAAATTCTATCATGTAATATCCAGCATCATTTCTATCACCACAGCCAGATTTTCTAACTACTGATCCTTCCTCTTTGTTTCCAACTTTGCATTCCAATTGCTATGAATATCAATATATCTTGATTACATGTTTGATCAATTTCAGATTGAAGAAGTTGGTAGAATTCTTTTATTTCATCCTCACTGGCTTTAGTGGTTGGTACTTAAATTTGAATAATAGTGGTATTAACTGGTCTTCCCTGTGGTTGCATAGATTTTATCCTATCTCAGACAGCATGTACTTCATAACAGATCTTGTTACAATTTTTTTTTTATAATGAATGTTGACGCCATTTCTCTTCAATTTGTCATTCCCAGGATAGTAAACCATGTGATTGTTAGAGTCCAGTACCAGTCAATTTCAGTTCAAGCCTGGCAACAATAGTGAGGTTAGCCCAGGATGGGGCACTGTTTCCTTATACTGTGCATAAAGTTGCTATGAGTTGGCACTGACTCAATGGCACCTAACAACAACAAAAAAATGCATAAAATATTGATGTTTATGCGTTCTGTTTAATATTTGACAATTTCCAATTTTCCTAGCTTCATACTTTGTACATTCCATGTTCTGATTATTAATGGATATTTACAGCTGTTTCTCTTCATCTTGATTTGTGCCTCATTGGCATATGAAGGTCCCAAGGGCTTTGTTCATTTGTGTCATCACTGTCAACTCCACTTAGAGGAAGCAGCTCTTCCCCAGTCGCATTTTGAATGCCTTCCAACCTGAGAGGCTCATTTTCCGGCAGTATATCTTGACAGTGTTTCTCTGCTATTCATAAGATGTCAGTGACTAAGTATTTGGAAGTAGTTCATCTCTTCTTCATAGTCTGTCTTCATCTGGAAGCTCCTCTGAAACCTATCCACCATGGGTGACCCTGCTGGTATTTAAAACACCCATGGCATAGCTACCAGACTCACAGTAACTCACAAGCCACTACAATACGATAAACTGACAAGTGGTGATCATGTGGGATTACTACTTCTTAACTGCCAAATCACTCAGAATCCAGCGCTAATCAAGTTGACACAAAATCATTACTATGACACACAGGTGCTGGCTTTTGCAGGTTTTACTGTATTAGAATCAGTATTAGAATCCACCAATTCTGATCAGTTTTCTGCAGTAGACTCTGACTTTTAAAAGTGGGACAAAGTTGAGAACTTAGATTAAAAGGTATCGTGTATCCAAAGCCATTACAATAAAGTAGTTGCAACCTCTTGAATGCTTTTAACATGCCAGGTGCTTTATACATTCCAACTAACCAACCAACCCACTGCTGTCAAGTTGACTCCAATTCATAGAGACCTGATACAGGGTTTCCAAGGTTGTATTTCCAAGACTATAAATCTTTTCAGAGCAGACTGCCTCCTCTTTCTCCCTTGGAGCAACTCATGGGTTTAAACCACCTATTTTGCAATTAGCAGCTCAACACCTACTCCACAGCATCACCAGAGCTCCTTTATACATTGTTCCTTTAAATTTTATTAACCATACTGCAAGCTAGGAGTCCTGATGTGGCGCTGTGAGTTAATGCGCCAGACTGCAAAGGCGTTTCAACTGCAAGGTCGG